GGAGAGCCTGGCGGGCGGGCGCGCGAGCGGCACGCACCCGGCGAGGGCGCCGCGGAGCTGGAGCCGCGGCGGGCGCGGGCGGGGCGCGGGCGGGGCGGGCGGCGCGGGCGGGGCCGCCCCCGCCGCGGGCTGGCAGCGAGCGAGCGCGGGGCGGCGGGTGCGGGGCGCCGGGCTCGCGCTCACTCCCCCGTGCGGGGGCGGGGACCCCGGGGGGCGAGGGGCGGGGCGGGGCGGGGCGGGGCAGGGGCGGGAGGCTGGGTCAGGCCAGTTTGTTTTTTTTTCTTTCCGGGGTGTTTGTTGGTTGGATTGTTTGGTTACAAACCGGCGGTGATGAGGCGGGTCCCGGCCCCGAGATTGTGATGTCTCAGGAGGCGGTGGGCCAGGTGACGCAACTGGAGGTGGGCCCGCGGCTCTCAGTACCTGGTCTAGGAGGCAACCCCTCCCTCCTGTCCGGAATAAGACGCCCCGTCCGCGGGTTCCGTGTCCCCTGCCCACTCTTGAGAGGCAACCCCCACTTGGAGGGACCAGGACCCGAGTCCTACCCATCCCCGAATCCTAGGAGCCCTACGGGGAGCGTCGAGGGCCTGGGTCGGGGGTTATACTAGTGTAGAGGTAAAGTTGTGGGAGTCTCCAAAGTGGGGGGCTGTGGGGGAAGGGCCTTCTTCGTTGGTTTAGATACCAGGAGCCTTTTCCGGTCCAGTGATGTGACTCCAGCTTCTAGGAAAGAGCAAGAAGCAGGCCAGCTCCTAAGAGCTGGGGTACGCTGTGGGGTCTCCGGCCACTGAGTCTCCAAGTGGCTGTCTCTGGGGTCACTTGAAATTACTGAAAATGCCAGGACAGGCCTTCCGTTCCCCTCCTTCCCCACCTCCACTGTTGAACTCTAGAGAATTCCAGGATCTTATCTTGTTTGGGGCCCACCATGTGGTTTACACTCCTTAAAAGTGAGACCCTCCAGTTACCGAATTTGCCCAGGGCTGAGGAATTACTTAGGAGCAGGAAGTCCCAGCCCCCTGCTCCCAGCTCAGCGCTTGGTCCCCTTCTGTGACAACTAAGGCCACAAAGACAATGGCTTTAAATATTCAGTGTTCCAAGAGGGGGGAAAAATGGACAGGGCTCACTGGGCGTTGAAACACATGGGCCTAGGTGCATCACTGCTCTGTTCACAGCAATGAATCTGGGAAACCCCGCTGCTCACTAATTACCCAGTAGCTATGGAGGTCCCCGTGAAGGACAGACCTGTGCCCTTGAGGCAGGGCCCTGAAGGAGGGTGAGTCTACCCTGAAGTCACCCATGGGGGCAGGGGCTTCGGGTAGCCATTAAACAAGGGAAGGAGATTTCTAAAGTGGACTCTAGAAAGGAGAAAGTCAGTTTGGGTTAAGGAACTGTGAATGGGGGTGGAGAGCAGCACAGGTCTCTAAAGGCTGGCCTTGGAGCTGAGCCCAGAAGGAGGAGAGGAACCACCACTGGGACAGCAGTTTGGGCGGGGGAAGGTGGCATCTGTGGAGACAGAAGTGGAGGCCCCATCAGGGGCTCCTGGGTGCTTGGGCTTCAGGCAGAAACTTCCTCCCCGCTGCCTTGATTCTTAATCTTGTGGTCATTTCACACTCCAGGGAGCAGGATCTCTTTCTGCGTGGTGTGGAGCCAGTATGGTAGTAGCAGCCAGGCTAATTTTGCCCCATCTGCTAGCCGTCTCCCTGTTTTTACACTTCAATTTATTTTCCATAATTGCTGTGGGGTGAAGTTGTGCTGAAAACCATTTTCTTTACAAAGCAAAGAGCTAAGAGAATCGGCGTTGTTCTCCATCATGAGGCAGGTCACAGGGAATCTGTCTTTAAGCGACGTGCCCTGTGGATGTTAGCTACGGGGATGGGCCATTTTTCATGATGCAAAGATGACTGATCTTGGGAATGGACAGCCACGTCATTTAGGGAACATTACCCAGGCAGCAACAGCTCCCTGGCAGGGACGGACTATGATCGCCATTGACTGAGCACCAACTCAGAGACGACTTTCAGCCTAAAGAACTTCTTTGCTTTGCAGTAAGGTGGAAAGAATTTTAGGTGTTTTTCAAAAAGCAATAGAAGCCAGTATTGAGCATGAGGCTGGCCTCTAAAAGGTACTTGAATATTCATTGAACTCGTGTGTCAATATCACCCCTGTCTCCTACAGTGTCTCTGGGCTCCTCAGTGGGTCACAAAAGTCATCTGTGATTGATCTGTGCCCCTCAATCCTGGCTGTACACTTTTTGAGCCAGCAGTGCTGAGCTGCCGCAGGTCCTGGCCACATCCAGTCACTTCCAGACCTTTGCTCAACTGTCCCCCTTGAAACGCCCTTCCCCTGCTCCCTGCACTTCCCCTTTACCTAGCTTACTCCTGCCTAATGATGTGCACCTCAGAGACTTCAACACCACTAGGCCCAGCTGGGTGCCTGTCTTGTACAATTCCCATAATATTAGGTACAATCACATAATATTCCATGAACTCTGCAATTCTGTTTCCCCATAATTGTGTTACTATAATTATGTTTACTTGAAGGTTTTCCCCAATAAATTGTGAAGTACATGAAAACAAGGACTGCTCTGTGTCTGGCACAGGGAGAGGTCTCAACATTAAATGGGTGGATGAATGAATGACTCTCACTATGGGCCTGAACCCAGAAAGCAGAGGACCAAAGTGAAAACACAATTGACCTTCATGTCCAAGGCCCCAGTACGCTCCTGGAAAGGTGATAAAGAAGAAGTTTGCTTATGTGCAGGAGGCAAAGCATCTGCTTTTGGGAACCAGGTACATAACAATCTATGATATGTCCCTTCCTCTGGGTGTGTACAGCCTCCTGGATCTGGAGTTCTGGCTGGGAAAGAAGGGTGTGTGACTTTCAGAAGGAATTAGGTATTTGGCATATTTCATGAATCAACAGTCCTCTTTTTCTTTTGCACTTTTTTTGGGGGAAGGAGAAGTATTCTGCCTGAAGGCTTGGCTTCCTGGGAGTTTCCAGAAACTGGAGATTATAGAAGTTGACCAATCCTGCTAGAATCCTTGTCATTGTTTAAAACTGATTTCTGCTGAGGGAAGGGACTTGAAGTCAGAGAATTGTAGAGAATCCCCGAAATGAACCTTAAAGATCACTAAGTCTAACATCTCTTCCCATGTAAGGGCTTCTAAAACATGGTCCAGACAGGTCCAGATTCCCTGCAACCTGTCTCATGATGGATGGCCAAATGGTCTTCCTGCCTCTGCTTATGGGAACTGATGAATTCTGGCGGGAAACCCAGGTAGAGGTTTGCATCTCCTCATCCCAGACCCACTTTGAGGAAGAATAGGACAGTGAAGATGGCCCCAGTGCACCCTCCCAGCCACTTCCAGGAGAGGAGTGTGTTGGGGGCTTTGGCAAGGGGGATGCTGCCTTCTCTGGTCACGGCCTCAAGCCCTCACATGTGCGCAACCCTTTAGGGTCTGGACAGCCCTTAGCTAGTGTTCATTTGGTCTTTGCAGTGACTTCATGAGGCCAAGGAGGCAGGGATCAGTTTTAGGTGGGGCTTAAAGCTACTAAGTAACCCGCCCAAGATCACAAAACAAGGCAAAATCAGTCTTTGTCCTGTAGCTCTTACTGCCCACCCGCATCTCTCCCAAATATGACTGCATAAAGGTTCCTGCTGTGGGCCAGACTGATGCTTAGCAAGTGGTATTAGTCATATGTTTATGTTGTGTTTTTTTAACGTCTTAACTCCTTCAAATCAGAATGCTCACCAGCATATAAAAATCTCTAGAAATTTCAAATTAATCCGATTAAGTGATTATAGTGGATCCTAGCTAGACTGACCAATGATTATCCTTCAAATGGACCAAAAACATCTCCTGGGCAGGGGGCTTGCATTATGATGTCACCAGGCTGCACTATATCATAAAGATCCCCTGGAATCATTGGTCACCTAGGGTCTGGCCCCGTGCTAGCACCCAACTGTGAACAAGACCCAGAATCCACCTGTGAGGAGGGAGTCCAGCTCTCTACAGTGTAGCCTGGCTCTGCAGTTTAGCCCTTATGGAAAGGACATCAAGGAGCCTTTGGAGGACTTAAACAGGAATCAGATTGTCCCTTTGGTTGTGGTGTGGAGAAGTGATCAGAGGAGTGAGGCAGGCTGTCAGGTGGCCCTGCTGGCCTTGGTGATATGGGTGTCAGGTAGTGGCAGCCTTTGCCAGAGGGGGTGGTCATGAAGATGGATTCTCTAGCTGTTCAGACAGTGGAATCAGCAGTACCTGGCGGCTGGCTGAGGAATTTGGCAACGCCCTGTCCATACGCTTTTGCTTCTAGGACTTCTGTATGTCTGTTACACCCACTATACTGCACACTCCTCAAGAATGCCTTGCAAGCAGACCTGTCTAATTCATCTGTGCAACGCCAGAGCCCAGTACTGTGCTGAGCACATAGTAGGAGCTCAGTAAATGTTAGTTGCATACATGAATAAACAAATATTTAAACTTCACCAAGCAGTAACTCCTAATGCTCATTGAGTGCCAAGCTCCTCAAGAGAGCCAGGGTCTCATCTGTGTCTTGGGAGTGCTGGCCGTCAGCCTGTCTGCTGAGGTTTTCCTGCTAAACTTTTCTCACCCATTGCCACCTACCTCCAGGAATCCTGTGGGATATAATGCAAAGGCTGGTAGCAGAGAGAGTGCTGAGACGTAGAAAGAATCCAGGCTCGGCCGGGTGCGGTGGCTCATGCCTGTAATCCCAGCACTTTGGGAGGCTGAGGTGGGCAGATCACGAGGTCAAGAGATGGAGACCAGCCTGGCCAACATGGTGAAACCCTGTCTCTACTAAAAATAAAAAAAATTAGCTGAATGTGGTCGCGCCTGTAGTCCCAGCTACTTGGGAGGCTGAGGCAGGAGAATCACTTGAACCTGGGAGGCAGAGGTTGCAGTGAGCCGAGATTGCGCCACTGCACTCCAGCCTGGCGACAGAGCGAAGACTGTCTCAAAAGAGAAGAGAAGAGACAAAAGAGAAGAGAAGAGAAAGAGAAAGAGAAACAGAAAGAAAGAGAAAGAGAAAGAATCCAGGCTCAGGCAAAAGGATAGTGGGTGTGGCGCAGTAGACAGCAGACAGAAGGGGCTACTCACAAGCTGTGTGACCTTGGGCAAGTTCCTAATTTCTTCTGGCCTCTGTGCGCTCGTCTGTAAAATGGGGCCCAGTGTCCCTACCTGGAAGGATTGTGTGAGATCAAAGATGTGCATAGAGAGAAGAGGTGTTTCAGTGAGGCTCTTCGGTAAGATTCAGATCATTTCCATGGTTCAGAGTGAACAACATTCAGAAGAAAAACTTCCCCTGAACTTGGGAGATTACCTATAAGTAAAAGATGAATATAGTCTCTGAGATTTTATTAATTTTTTGGGTGTGTGTAGGTGTTGGTGGGTGGTTAAAAAAATCCTGCTTCCCTAAGTAGACAGCACCGGATGCCCCAATTTCCACAAATAAAACCCTTCATTTCTCCCAGGTTTGAACAGTCAAAGGCTGCTTCCCTAGAGACAGGTTTGCTAATTTTTTTTTTTTTTTGCAGACATTAGAACACTATTTAAAGAGTATACATCTCCCAGTGAAGCAAATGATAAACTTTCCCACCTACAAAGTGTGAGATATTGGCAATGTAAAGATGTGAAGAGAGATAAGATACTATGGAGGGAGAGAAAGCACTGTATATGAGGTATTTGCAACAGCATTGCAGATTTTATATATATATATATATGTAATTTTTTAACATTTGGAATCAAAAGCAAACTTTATTGCTGATAGTCCCAGGAAGCTCACGCCTATAATCCCAGCACTTTGGGAGGCCAAGGAGGGTGGATCACCTGAAGTCAGGAGTTTGAGACCAGCCTGGCCAACATGGCAAAACCTCATCTCTACTAAAAATACAAAAATTAGGCAGGCATGGTGGTGAACACCTGTAATCCTGGCTACTCGGAAGGCTGAGGCAGGAGAATTGCTTGAGCCCAGAAGGCAGAAGTTGCAGAGAGCCAAGATCATGCCACTGCACTCCAGCCTGGGTGACAGAGCAAGACTCCATCTCTAAATAAATAAATAAATAGTAAAGTGTGGCACCGATAAAATCCTTGAGCCAGCGCTTCGAGCTGACATTCCTTGCATGGACAACTCAATTACAACAAATTTGTTGTGCATCTATTAACTTACTGTGCGGCTGACATTGACCAAGAACTCACTGTTTTCCAAGGATTGAGTCAAGCGTTTTGTATGTATTATCTCATTTAATGCTCTCAACAACTCTTCCGAGGAGGTACTGTTATCATCCTGATTTTATTGATGAGGAAACTAAGGACAAAAAAGTTTAGTAATGTCCCAAAGGTCACATAAGTCATTAGGTTAGCCAAGAAGGAACTGGAGTCCAGATGTTTTGCAGAAACCAAGTCTGATCTTTCTGCTCTGCAGCGGCAGCCTTTGAGGAGAATAGTTCGAGTTAGAAAGTCACTAAGAAATACTTTCAGTCAATTGTTGGTCTTAGGTAAACAAGAACGCAAGGGGCAAGTTTTCCCTGTTAGGCCAGGAGCCAAAAGTCTCTCCATTGCCCTCTGCAGAAAGGTTTCTTCTGTGCGAAATGCTGGGGGCATTTCTGCCTCTGACCCCTGAGCATCCCAAACACTGTGGCTATGCTGGAAAAGTATGTATGTTTCCTGCTGTTCAAATTGATTTCAACGTGTAAATTCTAAAACAAAGCAAAAAAGAAAAGAAAAGAAAAGAAAAGAAAAGCCTTTATCCAACCCAGCAAAAAGTCCAAATCCATCCTTGGTAGCCAATGTCATCCCAAGAGGACTCCACCAACCCTTCCCTTCCCACAGGGGCATGTTGCTCCTCACATGAAACAGGAGAATCTCATTTCTCCTCCCTTGAAACTGGGCTGTGATGCAAGACAGGTGAGCCCCAGAATTGGGGCTTAGCTCAGGAGGGTTCTTGGCTTCATCTGGGAAAGAATACAAGGGTGAGCTGGTGGTGGTAAACAGAAACTTTTACTGAAGCAGCAGCATACAACAGCAGCAGCAAAGGCATTGCTCCTTGCAGAGCAGGGCTACCCCATGGGCAGCGTACCCAGAATAGTAGCTCAGAGCAGTTCTGCAGTTGCATTTATACTCACTTTTAATTATATTGCAAATTAAGGGGCAGTTTATGCAGAAATTTCTAGGAAAAGGGTGGTAACCTCTGGATTGCTGGGTCATTGCCATGGAAGGGGGTGGTAACCTTCAGGTGTTGCCATAGCAATGGTAAACTCACATGGCACACTGGTGGGGTGTCTTATGGGGAAGTGCTTCTGTCCCAACCTGTTTCAGCCAGTCCAGTATCTGAGTCCAGTTTGGTCCAGTATCTGAGCCCCACCTTCAGAGTCGAGTCCTGCTTCCTACCTCAGCTGGACTTAATGACTTGCTTGGCTAAGAGAATGTAGTGGATGCAATATTTGGGAGCCCCTGAGGCTGGGTCATAAGAAGCCTTGCAGTGTCTGTCCTAGCCTCTTAGAACACTCGCTCTGGTCACAGGCTTCTTCCATTTAATAAATCCGAGAGTGCCATGCTATGAGGAAGCCCAGTCAGCTGCATATGGGGTGACATATGAAGCCCCCAACTGCTTCAGCCATCTCAGCCCAGGAGCCAAGCAGGTAAGTGAAACAACCACCTCAGGCAAGAGCTCATCTTCAGCCCAGCTGAGCTTTTGGCCTGGCTACAGCCCCAGCTATCACCTGACTGCAACAGCATGAGAGATTCCATACAACAATTTCCCAGCAGAACTCAGTCAACCCCCAAAATCCTTGGAGAAAATTCGTTACTTAGTTTTAAGCTGCTCAGCTCTGTTATGCAGTACTAGCTAACTAGAGCACGATCCTTTCCTCTCCATCTCCACGGCGCTCTGGTCCAGGTCATGGTCACCTCTCCCTTAGTTTCCCTCCACCACCACCTGCCTGTTTCCTTGTTCCCTATGGTGGTCCCCAACCTCACTCCCCAGGGTGATCTTAAAATGTCATCGGAGCATGTCACTCCCTGGCCTCCCTCTGCACATCTCATGAAAATCAGCCTCTTTGCCATGTTCACAGTGCTTGAGAAAGTTTGACCCCTCCTCTCATTGGTTCCCCCCTCCTCTTTCAAGCCACCTGTTCCCTTCAGTTCCTCTAAAGAGCTGCTTTATGTGCAAACCATATGACCCAAGAATTTCACTGGTAGTCTGCACTCACCAGAAGTGTACAAATATCAGCCAGGCATGGTGGCTCATGCCTGTTAATCCCAGCACTTTGGGAGGCCGAGGTGGGTGGATCATTTGAGGTCAGGAGTTCGAGACCAGCCTGGCCAACATGGCAAAACCCCGTCTCTATTAAAAATACAAAAATTAGCTGGGTGTCATGGTGCAGGCCTGTAATCCCAGCTACTTGGGAGGCTGAGGCAGGAGGATCGCTTGAACCTGGGAGGTTGAGGTTGCAGTGAGCCACGATCACGCCACTGCACTCTAGCCTGGGCGACAGAGCATGACTCCATCTCAAAAAAAGAAAAAAAAAAAAAACGTGTACAAATATATTCCTTGAAATATGTGTTCAGGAGTATTCATGGCAGTGTTATTCTCCATAACCAACACAGCCCAAAGATCCATCAGGAGGAGGATGGATAAATAATGGAATACAATTTATCAAGAGGAGGAGAGAACAACACGAATGAGTCTCACAACCCTAACGTGGGGTGAAAGCAGCCAGATACAAAATAGTGCACAGTGCAGAGTCCTGTTGAAAAAGTGCTCAAAAACACACAATCCATGATGAGAAAAGTCAGGATAGAGGTTAGCCTTGGAGGGAGGTGGGAAATGGGAAGGAGCTTAAGGAGTGCCTCTGCGGTGCTGGTCATGCTTTGTTTCTCATATGGATCTGGTTGTACAAGTGTGTTATTCTCTAGGGGGTAGTTCGCCAATTGTACATTTTCTGGCTGGATGTTCAATAAAGTGTTTTTTTTTTTTTTTTTAAAAGTGCTGTCCTATCTCCTTCCAAATGACTTTCCTACGCACACCTTCGACATTCTTCCACCTGGAATTTACTGCTTTCTCTTAGTCTTCTTCTGGTTGTTTAGATCTAGCTCAGCCGTCCCCTCCTTGGGGAACCCTTCCTCTGTTGCATCAGTTAGCCTTGGCAGTGGGGCAAACATACCTGCAAGCAAAGCACAGTGGCTCAAAGCAGTCTCATTAATTAGCTCTTGATTCTGTGCTTGGCAGTTTGGATGGTTCTTACGCTGCTGGGGAGGATGATGTGGGCCAGTTTTGAGGAAGCAAGGCATGAAGAAAGAGAATCCCGCTTCAGTGCCCATCTGGAAAGCTTCATTCGTGCTAATCTGATTTAGTGCTTCATGAAATTGTGTTTTATAAATGCATAAACAAAGAATTGATAAGATTTGTTCTATAATCCAAGCCGAACACACATGTCCGTTACTGTGCTGGGAGCTGGGGACAGATTGATGGAGAAGATTAATGCAGGAGGCGGATACGGGTTTATTTGTACATTTTTTATTCCTTTATTTGTGCATTCATTTCACCAACCAACTTTAATGTAGGGCCTACCAAGTGCCAGGCAGCATTCCAAGCCCTGGAATCCAGTGATGAACACGACAGACAAGATTCCTGCCCCCAAGGAGCTGCACCTTATGAAGGCCGGCGATGAAGGAGACAGAAAATAAACAGAGGAAAACATACAACATGCCAGCTGGTGAGAAGTGCTAACAAAAAAAGACACAACTACGTCCGCAGAGTCTGAGATGTATATAGGTATGTAGAGTTCAGTTCTACTGGGGCAGAGGGCAGGAAAACTTTGTAAAAATAAGTACCGTGTTTTGCTTTTAGTAGAAGCCTTGTCAGGGGCTTCATGTGCATTTTTCCTAACCTGTGCCACAAACCATGAGGTAGACATCATTTTCCTACTTTGTTGATGGGGAAACTGATGTTCAGAGAAATTGAGTCACTTGTCCAAGGTCACACAGCAGGGTGAGGGTAGCCTCACACTGGTGCGTCCCAAAGGGCATCCGCCGTCCAGTGTTGTGCTGTTGGTAGAGGTGATGAGGCCTGATGAAGCCAGGAAAGATAAGTGGATGTTTACCTGGTGGGCAATGGCCAAGGGAAGTGAAGGGAGCCCGGTGAGCAAAGCTGCTGGGTGTGAAACTGCCTGGTGTGGTCCAGGAGCTCAGTGTAGCCTGGGGCAAGCATGTGAGCTGGAAGGGAAGGGTGGAGGGCCGAATCCAGAGGGAGAGTGGGTTCTTGGTGATGGAGCCACGGCAGGTGCAAGGCTGGGGAGGGACACTTGTAGGCTCCCATTGAAACTCAGCCATCTAGAGCCTGTTTTCCCGTAGGCCTCTAGCTCCTGAGCTGCGGGAAGAAGGCTGTATGGTGTTCAGAGCACAGGCTCTTCAATCAGACGGCACAGCCTGGGTACGTGGTGGGCTTAGCAATTTGCGCTTGTGAGATACAATGAGATTTCTCAGCAAATTCTGCGTCTCGGCTTTGGCTTCGTCTGTGTTTGAGTCTCCATCTCATGCAGCTAGCTTATCATAGATCAGTACATTCACATTATTTATATGATCGTTTACAAAAACAACAGCCCGGGTTCAAATCCCGGCTCCACCACTTCCTCCCTGTGAGGCCCTGGGGATGCAACACATCCACTTGGTACCTCTTGTAAAATGAAGGTGGCAGTGACTTTTATTATTTATTTATTTATTTTTAGACAGAGTCTCACTCTGTCACTCCGGCTGGAGTACCGTGGTATGATCTCAGCTCACTGCAACCTCCACCTCCCAAGTTCAAGTGATTCTCATGTCTCAGCCTCCTGAGTAGCTGGGATCACAGGCATGTGCTACCACACCCGGCTAATTTTTTGTATTTTTAGTAGCAACAGGGTTTCGCCATGTTGGCTAGGCTGGTCTCGAACTCCTGTCCTTAAGCAATCTGCTCGCCTCAGCCTCCCAAAGTGCTGGGATTACAGGCATGAGCCACCACGCCCAGATAGCAGTGATTTTTCATGAAGTAATACATACATGATGTCGAGAATTTCCTGGCACAGAGTAGGCACGCAGCAAGGACCATGCACTGTCCTTGGGGGCATCTGACCAGACCCTGCAGGCCAGTGTCACTCCCAGGCAAGTGCAAGCGTTTTCTGAAGGCAACATCGCTAGTGAAGGCAGGACCCTGGAGAGGGCAGGATCCCCGGTGAAGGCAGGTCCTGAGGTTTCCAGTGAACTCAGTGCCTTCTATTCAGTTGGCCCAGATGGAGCCGGGGGGATTCTTGAGCTTGGTTCACAAAGAGAGGAGGATACTGCATGATATTGGGAGCCAACCACATTTTTTTTGTACAGCTCATTTCACCAATGAAAAGGCACTGGCAACATCTCCTATGCTGATTAGCCACAGCCTCCGGTGCCAATTTAGCAAAGCCATGATTGACCAGATCCGAGGCTCACTGCCCTGTGGAGCTGCTTCCTAATTATGTTACTTCAAGCACCCGTCCCCAGGATGTACCTACCAGCACCCGTCCCCAGGATGTACCTACCAGCACACTCATGTACATCAAGCAGTGTAGACGGAGGTGCAGTTCTGAAGATAGTCACCGATATGTGGCAAATACCTATTGTGAGATCCATCACCTGCTGGGTGGGTCTGCTCCCTCTACCACTCCCCTCCCTCCTGCGCCTGGATTGAGGAACTGGCCCCTCGCTAATTAGTCTAATCCCCTTCAGTTGGTCACAAGCCCTGTGGAGGTGGGAAGGAGGCAGGGCTGGGAAGGCAGTGAGGAAGGACAGGATGAGACTGCAGGGACAGCAGGAGACTCAGTCTGGAGTTCGGGCTGCCCTAATTTGCTGCGTGGCCTTGGAAGCCGCTTCCCCTTTTGAGAATGGGCTCATCTCTTTTCTAAAGAAGACATTCCGTGGGAGAGATGGTGCCATGGAGGTGTCACCTGGAGGCTGCAGGCCTGCCCTAGGGCCCAGTCATTCTGGAAGAAGCCCTTGCGGGCTAGGAGATGGCAGGCTCTGCCTCTGGCCTTTTGGCTGCCTTCTGTCTGCCACTGCCCAGAGGTCAGAATCCTGGGTGCTCTGGCACGGGCATCCACTCTCACCGAGACAGAGAGGATGGAGCCCCTTCCTTCAGGGCCTTGAGGCCTCACCACAGGCATTGCAGTCTGGGGACTATTGAACCAGACTGACTCTGGTCCTAGAGGGTGACCGTGGACATCCAGCCTCCCTGAACCTGAGTTCTCATCAATGGGATGGAAAGATCGATATGCCTGTCCTAGATTTCTCAAAGGGCCGGTGCGGAACTCAGTTGAGAGGCGCATGTGCAGGACAGCTTGGGCAGCAATAGGCAGGGGTGTGGGGAGCTGCCTGAGCCAGGCAGATGCTCAGGAGGAAGGGGTCGAGGGGAAGCTGTTGGGAGTGGGGAGAGACCCTTGAGATGCACATGGAAGGAACCCAGGGCTGAGCCAGCAGAGGAAAGAGGGTGGGAGGGTAGCCAGGTGGGAGGGCAGGAGGAGCCAAGATATGGAGGCTAAAAGCAGCACAGTGGGCTTGGGGGATGCTCAGGGCACCCGCTACCCAGAGAGGTTCCAGTTAGTCCTCTGCCTAAGAAGTGACCCCATTGTTCCAGGACTCCTTCCCTCCTTTTGTCCTGCCCTCTTTCCTCCCTTCCTCCCTATTTCTCCCTCTGCCCTCCCTGTCTTCTTTTTCTTTTTTTTTCCTTCTCTCCTTCCTGCTTCCTTCACCAGTAGTTACTGGTACCCACTATGTAGCAGCCACTGTGCTTGGCACGGACGGACACACATCAGCCCCCGCCCGCATGGTGGAACAGGGATATGGGAGAGAAAGACAACAAACCACTCAGTGTACAAATAGTCAACTACAGTGGGTAAGTGCCCTGGAGAGAAACTTCAGGGAGTGGTGAGAATATCTAACAGGGAAACTGTTCTCTGTATGGGGTGTGGGTGGGGCAGGGTGGTAGACTGTTTCCAAAGACATGGCCTCAGTAACTCCTCTCGGCCAAGGTAGGGTTCCTTTCTTCACCTCTTGATTCTGAGCTTGGCCATGACTTGCTCTGGCCAATGGACATTAGCAAACATGGCAGAGGCAGAGGCTTAAAAAGTACTCGTGCATTCAGACTTTTGCCCTCTTTTGTGGCACTTGGAACTCTGAGACATTGATGGGACATTGATGGGAGGAACCCAAGCTAGCCTCCTCGAGAGGCCACACGGAGGAGAACCAAGCTGCCCCTAGCAACAGGACACTAACTGGCACACACATGAGGCCATCCTAGATTATCTAGCCCAGCCAACGCAGAGGCGTGAGTCCGTGTCTTCCTCCCTGACAGCATCAGTGAATCTTAGGGAAAGAGCACTGGCAGAAGCTCTGCAGCCGAGAGGGTTGGGCCTCCACTCAAACATCCAGCTTCTCTTTGTTTTCACAACTTGCAATGTTGCATGCACTGAAGTTTGCTTGGTTGCTGAAAATGCACACAGTCATGAAATCACTCATTATGGTACATCATGTCGGTGGAATTTGTGGTTAAGGGAGGGATCGTCGTCTTCCCAGAGGCTTTAGATGGGCTTTAGCTCCAGAAAAATCTGTAACCCCTGCCTTCACCTGACCCACAGCCACAGCCCTGTACAAATGGACAGGTTCTGCTTGCCCTGGGATCTCTCTGCTGGGAGGATCCTGGGCCCTGTGAAGTGATGGAGGTCAGCACTCAGTAGCAAAGGCTGGCTCCTCCCACACACCAGTGCCTGATTTGGGGAGGAAGGGAATGCAGACCTTCTGAGAAAGGGTGACCTTTGCAGCTAGGCCATGTGGCCAGACTTTGGTAACACCTCTCTATTAAAATTGATGTTCCTCCTAATCAGCAGTGATGGGGAGATTGTTTCTTAAATGCTGCTAAATGCAGTGCCGGGTACCAGGCGAGAAGGCAGGGGTCTCGCTAATTCTCCTCCGTGATGTTCTCCAGCCGGAAAGGAATTCTGGCAGCCCCTACCTGTGAGAAGGGCTTGTTTCCCGAGGTGGGTTGACAAGCATCTGGAAACTAAGATTCTCTGCACATTGCCTGTAATTTCCCTTTGATTTTATATGTCCTCCAGCCCTCAGAACCATTCTTCTTCTTATTATTATTATTATTTTTATTTTTAAGAAAAGCAAAGATTAAATCCTCATACCTCTCTGGCAGAGTGGAGGTGACCACATTCCAGCATCTGGTGCCCTGTTTGCCCCAAACATGACTTCAAGTGAATCCACATAATACTCTTCCAGAGGGAAAGCAGAACCATCTTCAGGGCTTAGGGAGCAAGAAACACAGCGAGGAGTTCCACAGGAGGCCCACGCGGAGGGATGCGGCACCCCCGGTGGACTCTAGGGGACGCTCACTTGGAACGTGCATCACCCAGAACTGTGTCTGCCACCATGACTTCAGAGCAGCACAGACCTGAGGTGGATCCAGCAATGCCCACAACTGTCCAACAATTTGATTTTTCCAAGGCTCAGTTTCCATGTGGAAAATGGACTGGCTCTGAGTATTAAATGAGAATGAATGTCCATATGTCTCACTCCTTTCTTCATGAAAGGAAGACACCTCTGGGACTCAGACAAACATCCAATAGCATCTAGTCTTTATTCAGTCCTAACTGCATGACAATACAACTAGTGTAACAGTCATCAACATAAGGGATGCTCTCAGTATCGCTCGATGCCCTGTGCGCTATCACTAACAACAACTGCTGTTCAATAGCCACGGTGTGCATC